GAGTTTACCCGCGATTTTCGGCTCCACCTCCTGTCTCATTGCTCCAATATGGCCACAGGAAGACTTGGAATCGAATTCAAGCGAGAAAGAAAAAATTTTACTTCTTTTGGCAGTTGGTGGTGGCTCCCGTGCGGCGGTAGCCGATGGTCGGCTTTCTTTTTCACTGTCTGGTTCTCCTTTCTCTGGCGAGGGTAGAGTGGCTAGGGTTAGGGTTCTCTGGAACGTGATGCTTAAATATCCATTTCGTGTCGATTTGGGTCATTCATTCGGGAAGATGTGGTTCTCTCTCATCCGTTGGATCTATTCTATTCGGAGAATGAATATTGGCGCACGTTCAGATTGAATCTGACCGTTTGATCGCGCCTAAAAAGAAAACCATTTGGGTCGTTCACACGCGCGAGATGAGATCTGGACTGTCGTATCGCTGGACACATGGATCGCTCGCGTATCTTCCTACATGGTGCTGATGTTAGTGGCGTTGCCACGCGGTGTGCTCCAGTTCACCGGGGCGGTTGACTGAGTCGTGCCAAGTGGTCAAACTTTTTCTTTTTGCATTTTAACTTCCTATTTTTAATTTTTTTTTTCAAAAACACATTTCAAATTCAAAATTTCACCAATTTTCTCCAAAATTATTTTTACTTTGGTTCTTAATTAATTTTCGCAAAAAATTCAATACAATTAAATTAAAATAAATAAAATTACTTATTAAAATATTTTTTTAAAATAAGAAAAATCATCCTGGACCAATTTTCGAACCCAAGTATTGTACCTTACCTAAGAAAACATGTGTAATTGCTGATTATGGCATGTGACCCTGAGTGGGATTTATATGCTTTATATATTGAGATGCTCAAGGCACTCTTTTGCTTGTTTTCTCTTGGTGTTGCATGCTAGTATTAATAAGAGGTTTGAACAATGAAGATCTAAACTAAATGACATCTTTTCTTTTGTAATTCAAAATCTTATATCTTGTCCATTTTTACAAATTTTTTTAAATGATGAGTACTAATTAAATGATTGTACTGTTTCAGTAATTGATGACGCCTTGTGTGAACAAAGGCTTTGGGACTTGAAATACAAAGGCGTGAAGGATTTCTATATGTGTGAAATTGGGAAGGATTTTACAATTGATGCTACGTTCAAGGGAAATTTATCTCGATTCTTAAATCACAGCTGTGATCCCAACTGTATCTTGGAAAAATGGTTAGTATAGCTCTTTTTGTATTTCATGGCCGTCCATGGTTTATAGATTCTTTTCTTCACTTGACATTTTCATTAAAATAAAAAGACATTAGTAGATCTCTGTCATCAAGGTTGCTGGCAATTTATGAATATGGAATTATGAATCACATTTTGTTCTTCATTTGGGCATTGGATCAATCAATTTTTGACCAGGAATTTGAACTTTTTGATTTGGGCTCTAGTTGGGACATCCTATTTGAACTCAAAAATCTGCATTTCGATCCTATGCTATGATGATATAGGACGATGTGCATGAGATTTTTCTCGTTGCACTGCTAATGTTGGATATCTATAGTTAGCCCTTATAATGTGTACAAATATGCTATTTTTGGCTGTGTGCCAACCGTGTTCCTGCCATTGCCTTGATGCAGTGTGTTGTTGCCGAGTTTTTTTATTGGCATCGATCTTGCACAGCAGCCAGGCAATGTTACCCCAATGTGGTCTTATCCATTTTGTTTTGCTCCTCTACCAGGCAAGTTGAAGGGGAGACTCGTGTAGGCGTATTTGCTGCTCAATCGATAGAACCGGGAGAACCACTTACATATGACTACAGGTAAATCGGAGATGTTAACCATATCTTGATGCGGAAATTGGTATTATTAGTCTTTGACATGTTTCGTAAAAAAGGATAAATATACTTTTTTTACGTATTCTTTTACTTGTAACTTTGACAATTAAAGTTTATGTTTGGAACAAATGAGCTTCATTGGTAGTAGTATTTATTTGGGGTCTCAGCTTATTTTGATTATGAGAGGATATGAAATTCTGCAGATATGTGCAATTTGGACCAGAGGTGAAGTGCCACTGCGGGGCTAAAAATTGTCAAGGCTATCTCGGGACCAAAAAGAAAGTCAATAACTCGGAACTTTGCTGCTGGGGTTCAAAGCGCAGGAGATCCACGGTTCGCTTGCCTAAACCCAAACCCCCTACTGTATGATGTAATTACATCAATATAATTTTATACTCCTACTCAAGAAACTCATCTTCAATAAAATCAAATAAAAAAAGGAAAAAAATATAGAAAACACAAGTCACCCTCTTGTTCTTTTACCTCATTTTCATTCTTAATGATAATAATTTCATTTTTTATAGTGCTGAAAATTATATTCTTCATGAACCAATTCATTTCTTGCTTCTTTTTCCTAATTATTCCTTATGGGTTTCTGCCATCTCCCAAAATTTGCCCCCACTAATTATATATATATATAATATATAATATTTCCTTTTGATATATGCATGCATATTTTAATCTCAATACACAAAATTTGCCCCACAAAATTGGCCCCATGCCTAATGCCTTTCAGAAATTCCATGGTCCTTAATTCTGTCAACAGGTAAAATTTATGTTTTTATGTGGCTCCATATCTTGAAGAATATTGAAATTCTCATATTCTTATTCCACTATATATACATATATATACACACACACACACGGTTTTCAAACCCACAACAGAATCAACCACTAATTTTATGTATTAAAGTGCATATAAGCATTATTGGGTCTATCATATGATTCAAACAACTGCTATATGTAAGTTTTGTGAATTGTTTTGGGTAACAAGCAATTTGCCAAATCCTCAAATAATTATTAATTAGATTATTGTGCCAACTATTCTTTATTTAACTATAGGCATTAATTGATTCTCCCCCTCCTACTATTATTATTCTCTCTTTAAAGGATTGAATTTGGAAGGCATATATATATCTATCTATATATGTGTGTGTGTGTGTGTGTGTGTGTATATATATATATGTATTATCCTAATTATAGAACGTGTACAAAGCTAAATATAATGATTTATCCAATGAAAAACTGAATTAATTATATGAGTTGGATTCTTTGAGCCATTTGGTCATTACAGAGATTTGTGTGTCCCAATCAAATTTCTTTGGAACATCACAAGTTGGGGGGGGGATGGTGTGATCCAAATCTAAATGTGAATAGTGTCAACTTGAAACTAATTAGGAAGATACATATGTATCTATATATGTATATATATATATATATATATATGTAAAGGGGATTCTAATTGTATTAATGGGAAATTGAGACATGTTTCTCAACGTATGAACCCGCAATGAGGGGAAAATACAAAAAGAAGGATTCAAAAAGGGATAAAAGTATAAAAGATGAGGGTATATTGAGAAAATTGATGGGTTAATTATTCTGAGTTTTTGGAATCTTAGTTTGGTTCACAGTGTATGTTCTTGATGCCATACTTCTTTAGTGGATTAGATTTTTGCCTAAACTTTGGAGTAAGGAATTTAATTATTCTGATTATTTTATACGTTAATTTTAAATAGTTCGAAAATTAAGTTAAATTATAATTGTTATATTTTTTAATTTTTTTTTTAAAAAAATTGGGATACGCACACATTCTGATACGTACGATCTCTCTAACTCGTGATTGAATTTGACCAATTTCGAATAAATAAATAATTTAATTTTATTTTTGAATTAAATTAAATCGAGATAACTGGTTATTATATGAATATTTTATAATAATTAAATTCGATTAATTTGGATAATTATAACGAGATTAATTCAATATGAATTTAGTCTCGTTGTTGAATTCAAAATTCACTTTTTAATGCTTAATTGCCCAATTTTTGAAATTTGCTTCGGTCTCTTTTTTTGTGGCAGTTGAAATATCAATGAGTTATATAAATTTATACAACTATATGGATAAATATATTAATATATATGTGTGTTGACTTCATTAATTTATATATTTAATACATGCTGACCATGCTGGGTTAGTTTGATCAGGTTAACATAAACCTTGCCAAAAATTTTGAACAAAGCAAGGATAAACATGCACCCATACATACCCACCTATATTATAGGTGTATATGTATATATGTGCTCTAACCCTTTCAAATATTGTAGAGTATATATATATCTTAATTGCTCCTGAGAAATTTCCTGCACATCTTCTCCAAACACTTCCTATCTGGTTCGGCAATCTCCAATCCAAGCTTAGCGTTCTCAGCAATCTCCATCTGTATAT